TAATTAACTGACCATTTGCTAGTTCCCATTCATCCAACCTTGGTCCACTTAACATCAACATCCACCCTCCCTGAATCCTGCCCTGGCACGAATTCCAGCCCTGTTATGTCTCAAATGATTGCCACACCTGTCACTTGTTAACACATGTTACTTAGCAACTAAAAAAAAAATTTATGTGATAACAAAGGCGTTTACAAAATAAATGAGTAGATTGCTATCCTCTTCCCATGCTATACATGAGTCTGTGTTGTTCTGTGACACATGATCGGACTGTGTGAGAAATTAACTTCGAAGCCTCCAAGTTTACTGCAAGAATAGCTATTGCAGAACTCATAAACGGAAAAGTTCTGCATGGGCCAAATTAAGATGTTGAAGTCACATGATTTAATGAATCCATGCAGAAGACACAGTGAGGAAAGAGCTGAGGTGAGACAGGTCAGGTCAGTACACCAACAGGGAAGGACTTCATCACCTGAATTCAAAAGCTAGCATGCCGCAAATCCAGTTTTCCTAACAGAATGGTGATCAGATGACAATTGAGATGATGGAAGGACTCAACAGGTTCGTAAGGACTAGCAGAATAGGCCCACATGGTCCTTTGACCTGGTTTCAGCAAGAGAAAACTGTTGACAAGGTTGCTCCTCCCATCTCATGCCCCAGGGTTCCCACACCCCAGGTATCCCCAAATTCAAATTATTTTGAAGTGAATTCTAGACATTCAGAAAGGAAACACTGTAGTGTGAAACCCAAGAAGATAAATTCTTTTTGGTTAAACATAACCATAATACATACCATGTCATCACACTTAGAAACAATGAGTTTGTCTGTGTCATTTTAAATCAATTCAGTGCCTAAATTTACTATTGTGTCATAAATTCTTGAGAAAATTATCCCATCTGTTGATGGCCATGTGCCATCCAATAGATGTATTTATCCCAGAAGGGAAATTTCTGGGTAATGTTTATCTTTAGTATTTTTAAAACATGCTACATTGTTTTCCAAGGAAGTGGCATCAATTTTACATCCCACCAAGAGCAAGAAAAGTTCCACTATGCATCTTGGCCAACACTTGATGTTATCAGATTTCAAATTGTTTCCAATCTTATGAGTATACAAAGCATATAATAGACTTAAGTTTTATCATCTTAATTAGTAAATAAAATCTTTTTAAGTGACTTACTCTTTTTTTTAAAAAAGAAATTTAATTATAATTCTTTAAAATGCTGATGCTAATCATTTGTCTGCTTTCCAAATAGCAAAAATTGTCTCACTTAGTGACTGCTCTTATCATTTTATTGATGATGTCCTATTTTGAACAAAGATTTCCCATTTTAATACATTCGAATTTGTTACAGTTTTTCTATTTTAAGCTCCTTGTACCTTTGTGAGCTTTTTTGTTTTTTAAGTTTTTATTTTTATTAGTACATTTTTGCAGTACATGATGGTTACATTCATTGTGGGGAGTTTGTACATGTACATAACACACATTATTTGTTTTATTTCTCTTTCCCTCCTTTTCCTTCCCTCCATCTCTTGGTCTTCTCATTTGCAAAAGATCTATCTGGACATTTCCTTTCCCTAAGCCAGTCTCCTCTAACCTTACAATTTTCTACCTCTACCTTTTTACCTGCAGGATTGGAGTTTACTTGGAACTGATTTTTGTGCATACAATGAGATAGAGATCCTAATTCTATGTGGAAAACCAACATCCAAACATCCTTTATTAAATCACTCATTGTTTCACCAAAGATGGGCAATCAATCTACCATAAACTAACTTTCCATTATACCTCTGATTTGCAGCTATCAGTATCCAAACTCTTTATTCTCATCCATTGTTGTGTTTATGTACTGCTCCACCAATAAAGCACTACTCAGAGAGCTTTAAATTTAGAGTAATGTCATGCAGGACAGCCCCCAACCCTGGCTATTTCCTGTTTCCTGTGTATATTATATTCTACAGCTCTGTGTTTTTCTATATAAATTTAACAATTAACATTTGAGTCCTGTGACACATTATTAAAATGGCATTAAATCTAAAACCACACTTGGAACAACTGATCTCTTTTAAGTGTACCGTATTACCATGAGCATTATATCTCCATTTACATAAAAATATCTCTTAATAAAGTCTTGTTTCTCCATGAAGGGGTTGGCTTGCATAGCTTTTTCCAAATGTATTTCTAAATAATTGATTTTTATTGCTATCATAAGTGATATCTTTAAAAAAATTTTTTTGTCTTGGTACTGGTTGAACCCAGGGCCTTCACACTGAGCTCTATCTACCCTCAGCCCTTTTTCTAATTCTTTATTTTGAGACAGGGTCTCACAAATCTACACAATTACCCCTCAGCTTCTGACTTCTGGGATTACAGGTGACACCACGCTCAGTGTATCATTTCTGTCTGAACACTTTTTGTAAACTTTCATACGAAGCAAAAATTAGACGTATCCACCAACCAGATTTCAAAAATAGCCCATTTCCAACACCCCAGAAATCCCCTTCCCAACCACACACCAGTGTGGTTAACTATTTCCCCCTCTTTAAAAGGTCCCTCTTTTAAAGTTAACTATTTTCCAGGAATTTAGAATTACGTTTTTACTTGGCTACATTCCTATACTAGCTAAATTACATCCCTAAACTAAGTAGTCTAATTCTACTTTCTTTAAACTTTGTTGTTGTTGTTGTTGTTTTCCCTCATTGAGTTTATTGGTACATTTTAGGTATACAGTACAGTTACATTCATTACTGGGATCTTGTACCTTTACATGACAGGTCTTGGTTCTCGTTTTTTCCCCTTGTCCCTGCCCTCCCTTCACCTCCTCCTCCCCTATTTACAAACACTTTATTTCTATTTTTTCATTTTCTCATATTTTTTTATTTCCCCTTATTACCTTTCCCCACTCTTCCCACCCTTCCCACTTTCCCTACACCTTTATTTCTTTGAACTTTGTATAAAATCATAGATTTAATTTTGCTGTATCCAAGTGGTCCTGTTGAAGGCATGGCTGTGCAGTCTCTGAGTGTTGGGTAGAGTCGCTACAAGTTTGTTCTCTTTCACTATTACATAGAATTTCTTTACTTCACTTTTCCACAACATATTTTGTTATTGTTCTACTGTGGATGGACATTTGGGTTGTTCCTAGTTTGAGACAGCTATAAACAGTACTGCTATGATACTTTTTTCTCGGCATCTATGAGAAGTTTGCTAGGTTATATCTAACAATAGAATCAGTCACAGGGGTTCATTGGTTCAAGATAGAAGATGTGTGCTTCCCAAAGTAGTTGGTCCACATCTTTTGTTGGAGCTGGCATTGTCTTTTTTCATTTTAGTTATTCTGGTCAGTATTGTGGTGTAGCTTTGATTTTAACTTGCAATTCTGATCACTAACACAGCATATCATAAATTCATTGGCCATTTGTTTATCATCCTTTTTGAATATCCTGATCAAACCTTCTGTCTTTATTGAATTGTCTGATTTTATATTATTTATTTGTAGGTGTTCTTTATATTTTTGGCTACAAGCCTGTTGTCAGTAAGTGTAAATATTTTATCTCACTTTGTGTCTTGGCTTTCAGTTAACTCATAGATGTCTTTTTGATCAAAACAAAATGGTTTTTAATTTAGGCTCACTTGTATGCTTACAATTTTTGTTATTAGGACACCTGTGCAGTATTTTCCTCATAGGAAGTCGGTACGTGGACATAACACACCCCAACTCCTTTGTTCATCCCTTGTCCCTCCCTTTCCCTTCCTTCCATCTCTTGATCACCTTCCCCTCTGAGAAATCTATCTTCCTACTTTCTATTATCTCTTTTATTTTGCTTTATATTTTTACTTTGGGTTCCAAATGATGTTTGTGCCTGTTATGTTTCTGTTATGAAATATTCCCTATCGTGGCAACATAAAGTTATTTCTAATATTATGTTCTTGTATTCTAGGAGCCCCAACATTGTACTTCTCACACTTATATCTACAATTTGTTTTGGATTGATTTGTGTACTTTTTTTCCATCCAGTTTTCAGCATTTGTTCCAGGAACAGGTACTGAAGAGATGTCTTTTCCCCGCTGCTCTGTAGTGTCACCTCTGCCTTAAGTTAAGTGCATGCAGGAGTGGGGGTTTTGTTTTTGTTTTTTTTTTCCTATGCTCCGTGGTTTCTTAATGGGTTTCCCCCCTATTCCATACCTGTTGCTACAGCATTCTCGTAACTCCTAGTACTACTCAAAGTCCTCAAGACAGAAAATATCTTGACTTTCTTGAAACTTTCTATTTCTGTAAGTGCTAGAATCAATTTGCCACATTTCAACTAAAATAAAACTGTTGGCTATTGATTGGAATTACATGGAATATTTATCATTTTATAAAAATTGAAATCTTTATAATATCAAGTCTTCCAATCCACAAATATACATATATTCATTTATTTAGACACTTCAAAAAAAACTTTCCCCAAAATGTTATATAATCTTCCAAGTGCACAATTTCAGTAGAATCATTGATAGGCATTTGGTTACTTTAATACTACTGTAAATGGTGTCTTTTGTTAAATTTTTAAAATTAATGCATTTTTCTGGTATATAGAAATACAGGTAATTTTTGCACCTTCGCTTTTTTTCAACAATCTGCCTAAACTCCCTCATCCTAATAATTAATCTGTACATCCTTCAGGATTTTTCCATTTAAAAGACATATTTCTGTCTTCTTTTGCAAACTTCATAGCTGTCATAAACCTGTCTTTCTTATTACCTAGGTCCAACTTTCAGTAAAATATGGAGTAGAAATGAAAAAGATGTTCATCCTTGTGTTATTCCAGTTTCAAAAGAATAGGGTTAAAAAAAAATGAGAATCAAGACTTGTCATGTGGATGTACAAGATCCCAACAATGAATGTAACTGTACTGTATCCCTAAAATGTACCAATAAACTCAATTAAAGCTGAAAAAAAATACATAAGAATAGGGTTAAATATTTCACCACTAAATAAATCATACTTTACATTTGTATTTAAGTATATTACCAGATTGAAGAATTCCCCTCCTCTTCATAATTTGCTATTATTTTGGCTCTGAGCAGAAGTTACTGAAATGAACCTATTGCTAGGTTTACTTTGCTAATTCTTTTGTTAAGAATTTTGCAACTGTTTCTGAGTGAGACTACCCTGTGTTGTTCTTCACTGTAATAAACGTCCTTGCTCTGGTTTTGATATTGACTTTATGCTGCCTTCACAAAAAAATATTGCAGAACATGGCCTTTTTTCCTATTTTCTGAGAGAGTTTATGTATAAATCATGACATTATTTCTTCCTTAAGTATTTGAAGAAGTTGCCAGTGGAACCATATGGGCCTAGAATTTTCTTTGTGGGCAGGTTTTTAATTTTGGATTTGAGTTATTTAACAGTTGTAGAGTTGCTTAGGTTTTGCATTTATTCTCTGGGAACTGCTCATGGCTCCTACTGTGGTGATATCTGTATTTCTGGGTATTGTTTCTTCACAAGTGCTCTGTCTCTTCTCTCTGGTTTGAGGAACTTCACTTCATATTTGGTGCTATTCTTTGAACTCATTATATTACTGATTCTTTGGTCTCCCTAAAACTGAGAATTGGTGTCTTTCATCAAGTCAGAAAATTATTTTCCTCTTCCCCATCCTCTCCATTACTGCTGCTGGAACTGTGATTTCACTCTTGGTGGACATTCCACTGTGGCTTTCATGTGTCCCAGCCCCCTCACTTTGCTTCTTCATGCTGGCCTTCAAGTCACTTTTTCAGATCTAATTCACAGATTCTTTCTTCAGCTATCCCTACTTTACTTTCAACCCACTCGTTGAGTATTTATTTTCACATATTATATTTTTCCAATCTACAGTTTCTATTTCATTCTTTTTCCAACACTCTCAATTCACTTGCCAAGGCTCCTATTCTCTATTCATGATTTAAAACTTCCTTTTGAGTTTATTTAGCCATGTTAATCTTGCTTATTGAATCTTCTGTACCTATAATCTCCATTATCTGGCTATGCTGTGAGTCTTGCTGACACCTGTTTCTACTGGTCTTGTTCATGGTTCTAGGTTACAAAATAAAGTTTTCACACTTATAAGGAAGATCTTATTCAAGTAATTAATTATCTATTGATTCACTTGATAGCATCATCATTGTTTATCATGACTTTGAATTTTTTTAAAAGTTAGCAGCTCCTCATCTGTTTGAGAGTGTCAACATTTCTTCATCCTTCCTATTTGGTCATGATTCTACAGCTTCATTATTTATCCACATAGTTAATCCAGTATTGGCTTCCCGTCTTAGCCTCCTAGAACAAATATAAGAAAAAATATATATATATATACCCATAGGGATGCAGTACCCACTACCTCTTTCAACACTAACCTCTGGTGATTTGTGCTTCCTTATCAGAAAGCTTGGAAACAATTCATTCCCCTGCAACTCCTGCCATTACCCTTGGAATTCTTATACCTATGGAATTCCTATCCCCCTGCAATTCTTTACCTCTGGGCAAATGGCCCATAGGACATCCTGGTAAATAGTGCACCTGCTCTGGCCACACCCCATCCTTCCAGCCTCTCCTACATCCTGACTCCTGCTCCCATGTGTCCTTTGACTTCATATAGACCATCAGCCTCCGCCCCCAGTTAAGACAGGACAGACCTACCACAACACGATGGGTCAGGGTCATGTGCTCCAAGGTCAGGGGTTTAGGGATGTCAGGAGCTGTAGTCATCCTGGGAGGATCAGGTTCACTCAAGTACTTGGGAAGTTTAAGCCTAAGGGAAGAGAAGAGATTGCCTTTAAAGGTTGCATTTAAATTGTTCTTCTATAACAATTTAAACTCAGAATTGTGTTAATATCAATGTATATGTATTTCTGCAAATATAAGGTTTTTTCCTACCTCATACCTACTGGGGGATCACAGACCTCTGAAAGAATTTAATTTTTTAAAAAAACTACTATGAATCCCCTCTCCAAGAAACTCAGATGTACATAATTATGTAGAAAACATTTTAAGGGGTTTGCACCTCAAGTTTATGAATTATAAGCAGCTTAATCTACAGTAATCTTGCCATCCGATATCTAGATTCAGTAGGCTCTCTAAAGACTATTTTCCTTGTGAATTTTGCATGAAGCGTATATCCACATTTATTGATAACCCTATCTCCTTCCTGATTATTTGAATCCACACATTTTAGTGCAAACTGGAAATTTTCACCACGAGGGAAACAGAAAATTTGGATTAGCATTTTGTACTTAACAATTCCTATTTTAGAGGGTGTTTTGAATGTCACAGAGTCTGGCTAAATAAGATAAATATGCTTCTAGCAAGATACACATATCTTTAACAAAACTAACTAATTATCAGAGAACTGTTAACAAATCACTACTGACAAGGATATGTATGTCAGTGTGTGCATTTCTTTGGTATGTCAGTATGTCCATGTACTTGTGTGGAAGATTATATATATATTCTGTCCTGCAATTTGCTTAAAAACCAAAACTAGTGGCTCCTGCATTTTCACCTGCTATATGTGTTAAGAACACCATAAGTGGATGGAATCTGGGGCCAACCCGGAGATAAGAACTAAAGGACAACTTCCTGTACAAAATATAGGTATAAGGAGTCAAATGATTCTGTCCTTCCTCAGTTATGGCACTATACAGGGTGCCAAAAAGAATAGCATCTAGGTCATTTCTGACCTAGCTCTGGAAGGGAGAGAAACTTCCACCCCTTCACCATTCTTTGCCTCTACATCAGAGTGAGGGCGCTGCACAGTTGAACTCCTGTGATTGCCAATAACACCTGTCTGGTGTTAAGCTACATCTTTGTGATCAGCAAGCATAATTGCTACATTTTTTAGGTCCAAAAATCAAATCATAATACTAACACTCTTCATTTCACACATTCTGGAAAGAACTTAAAAAAGACAAGCAGATGTCGATAAGGCACCAAAGTAACAAAAGCCTGAACACCAGTGTCTTGTTTGAAGGCTTTACCAAGCCTCATCAGATTGGACCCTAGTCACCACTGTCCGTCCTACATGCACTGCAAGCTGCAATTAGATTTTCTCTGGCTGGAGGCCAGCTCACCAAATTACACAGCTTTTGGTCATTTTTTGCACCTTCTGTCTGAGTAAACCCCAAACTGAGGCTTCCCATTTTTTGCTATCTTACATAAGTCTCTGGCTCCTCTGAAGGCTAAGGGTTCTAAGAGAGCAGCAGGGCATTGGGTCAAACCTGGGAAGGTACATGTACTGGACTTGCTGAAGGGGTGACATGTCCTGTGCCAAGAACCCAGCACTCAGGGCCTCCTGCCATGGGCAGCATTGCCTTATTTAAATAACAAAGCAGAGCCTCCCACAGTTCCAGAGGTGGTGTTATGTTCACCTTCCTCAGAAAAACCTGTGGTCCAGTATCCTGAACACACGACATTGAGGGAAACCAGGGCTCACCCAAGCTCTGTCAGGCACTAGTGACTGCTTGACCTTGCAGAGGTGAACAATAGGAGCTCAGCAGTCTTTTCATTCCAGGGACATTGTACACTGCTGCGCACCAGCAACTGCACTAGAAGCAGAGGATTCCTTAAAGGGTCATACAACCTTGTCTTCACAGGGTCCCACATCAGAGGAGGCTGGCAGGAGGCAGGAGGTGGAGACAATAGGCTGCCCCTTGTAGACTCAGGGAAGCAAAGGCTGAGGCTGTAAGGATCACATAGCTGGGTACCTGCCCGCCTCAGGGACTGGGAAAGGTCCCTGAAGAGAGCATATGGGGCTAGCTGAGGCCTACAGCAGGATCCTGCCAGACGAATAGTAAATTCAGGCTTCTAAATTCTCAATTCCATTTATCCCTCCACCACCAAACTCTTCTCAAATGCCTCAGTGTCTTTTTTGTTTGTTTGTTTGCACTTGGCAAACTGTTTGTTTTCGGCTGCTTTTTGTGTTTGACTACTCACATGCCGTGCAGGGCCACTTGTTGTCCTCCTCTTTTGGGGAGGGCATCTCTCCAGGCACGTCCTGAGCTCCAGCATTTCAAGAAGGTAAGGGCAAGCTGTGCCTGAGGCTGGTGACTGGCAGGCAGTGGGTCTCCTGTGTCTGTCTTCCTGGGCAGGGCTTCTTCCTGCTCTCTGTGTTCATCTGGAACCATGTAATCCACCTTTCAGAAACAAAGAATACTTTCCATATTTTGTTGTCATTTTCATTACATTCTAAGTGTGAGAAATAATGTTTAAAACAGAATTTAGGAAATTTGGATAAGCAATGATCATTAAAATGTGAATTTAATCATACTTAAAGAGTTTTTTATTACCTAATACACATTATTCTAGAAAAAGAGGTCCTCATTGCTGAGAAGGACCACTCAGAATCCTGTCACCCTGCAGGAGGCCAGTCTCCAGCTCACCCATCAAAAATGGAGAGGATGAGAAGAGCAGAAAGTGAGACCAACGACAGGGAGAGGCGTCATTTGGATTTTATTCTGATTTGAAGTTTGACTAAATATTAGATTTTTATTTCATTACAATCCAAGTGGACCTCTCCGTCCCTTGGTCATCACTACAGCAAGATACTGAATTATAATTCAACACAGATGGACTAGATCCTCACCCTTATCCCATAGTAGTTGCTGCCTACTGCTAGATGAAGTCTGATGCACGCAGTGCACAGACAGTGGGAGTCCCATCCCAGCTTCCCCAGGCCTCCCTCAGACCTCCCCTCTCCCCATTCCAGGACAGAACAGAATCGTGAGTCGCTTGTGCTGCCTCTAGACCAACAGGACACTGACCAGACCTCCAGTTCTGCCCTCCATGTGCACATCTGCGAAGCGGCCGTCCTTTTCCAGCAGCCTGCTCGGGTGGCACCAAACAGAGAAAAGCAAACACAGAGGCAGCCATGAGGCCCAGCACCCCTTGAGTACACAGTGGCTGCTGTTCCAGGGACTGGAGCTCATCCCTGAAGGGGCCATGGAGATGTGACGGTGACAAGGCACGCTGGCTCTCCTGCAGCCTGCAGTTACAGATGAGCCGTTTGGAACCACCCAGGGTTAAAGCCAGAGACTGGGCTTTCCTTTACTCTGACTATTATGGCTGTGGTCATGAATGCACTTTAGGGGTGGTGCTGAGCCTGTCTGGAATCTCAGTGTGTGACAATAGTCACCATCAGGGCTGTGTGCGCAACATATACCTTAGGGATATGCTTACAGGGAGAAAACACTGCCAGCATGCAGAGGCTCTTACCTCTCTCCATGTGAGTGAAGACGTGACACTGGGCACACAGTGACTCTTTGCCTCCATCCTGGGGACAGGGCCATGAGAATGTGTGTCTGATGGGGAATTTCCTTAGGCCAGCCTGGAGTCCAGGGGACCTTGGGTTACTCCCAGGCCAACGGTGACTTCCTGGCCTCAATCTCAAGAAAAGCCTTCTGCCGCTGCTGGCGAGTGGTGACATCTTTCTGTTTGTCTCACTGGGTTCTCACAACAGTGCTTTGAGCACATACAGTGACTACGTCAGGGATTCTGTGTTTTGGGGGTCATGGGCTCTAGAGCCCAGTGCTTCCCAGCTGCCCAGTAGGGTATAGGAAAGGCCGCAGGGGACATCTTCCTTCCTTTCCACCTCCAAGGCAAAGTTGAACAGGGTGAAACTCCCACCAGCCACCTGCAACTCAGCTGAGCCTGACAGCCCAATCCTGGGGGTCCTGGACTGAGCTAGGGGTCAGCCTGAGACAAAGGAAAAGTAAGTCCATCTCCAGCTGGGACAGGACAGGTGCCATTTGTCTTCATACACACGACACGACACAGCAAACACTGAGGCAGAAGCAAACACGCAGTCTTTTATCAACTTCAGAAACAGCTGGTTGACAAATTGCTTTCTTTAGAGAAGTACTCAGGCCTGTGAGAGGACACTCGCTAATTAGGAGATGAGGTGCCTGCCTTTGAGGTACTTCCCACCTCATAGGTTGGCGAAGGCAGCTCAAGGAAGAAGCTTGAGCCCCAGCTCAGCTGGCTGTAGTGGTGCACACCTGTAATCCAAACAGTCTGGGAGGCTGAGGCAGAAGGATTACTAGTGGGAGCCAGCCTGGGCAATTAAAAAACTTGGGGAGACTGTCTCAAAATAAAAAATAAAAAGGCCTGATAATGTCATGCAGCATGAAGACCCTGGGTTCAATCCCCGGTACCAAAAAAAAAAACAGCTCATGCAGGGTGGCTGGCTGAGAAAGGCATTCTGGAGGTGGCAGGTGGGCAGAGAAGAGGAGGAAGAAGTAAAAGGAGAGCAGTCAAAGCCACTCTTACAGCAAGGGTTGGAGGGAAGCAGCAGACAGTGGAGCTGGAAGAGCAAAGGAAACGTAGCTGGTGAGTGGAGATGGTGGAGATGTTCCAAAGCCACAAGCAGCTTTCCCGTCCCCACTAGCATCTCTGTGTGTGCCCAGGAGCAGGGCCTCCCATGCAGGGAGCTGAAGTCTTGGGTGTCACAGGCACACAGGGCCTCCTGATGTTTCCCAGACCCTCCTTTAGCCCACCACCTTCCCTTTGCTGGAGCTGGAGACCCTGGCCTGACAGAAGGAACCATGCCAGGACTGAAGGCATTGCTCCAGGGTCTGTTTGTGAAATGAACTCTGAGTTTGGCAGCAGGCACATCAACTTTTCCAAAGACTCTTTTTTCAAATGTGTTTTCCTCAGCCCTGTGCATTCGTAAGAATCCTAAATATTTATGTCTCTGTGAAAATGTACTGCAACAACAGGAAAAGAAGAAGGAAAAAAAAAAAAAAGCAAACCAAGGACTTTTAAAAGCTTGGCTTTTCTTCTTTTAAAACTTTAAGTTTTAATTTAAAACATTTTAAATTTTTATCTTTTTACAATTAAACTTTTAATTACATTTCATCACTTTCCTAGTTATGAAAGTGAATGCCCTTATCCCTACATGTGTAAATTATTACCAACTAGTTCAAGTAACTCCATGCCCTCCCAAGGGGTCTGACCAGCACTGTGAGATAGGTATTATGCTATGTGGAGAGTACCCTTGGATAGGCCACATGCCCTCCTGCTTTTAGGCCCCTTGGTGCGCGGGAAATATGGAACAGCTGATGGAGGAAAAACTTGGACCACCAGTACTTCCATACTGTCTTGCTGTCTTTCCATTATTCTCTGGATTGACAATCTAAACAAAGAACATTTTGAAGATAGTCTAGAAAATTCTGAGCGAAAGGAGAATTGGTTGGGGAGGCACTCGAACCCACTGAACTGTCCTTGATGTCAGGCCCCTCGTGGGAGCCTCAGGAGCGGGGCCATTTGCATTCAGAGGCCAGAAGTTGATTTCCCTCTACCTTGCAGGTCTCCCAGCCACTGCACCTGATAAAAGGAGGCCAGAAAGTTACTGAAGCCCTTAAATTGCAACAACAAAGGCCAGGCTTCTCTTTTTCCATCAAAACAGCTGGGCTACTTGATTCAAATGCTAATAGCTGGGGCCTGAATTGGTCACTAAATGAGGGAGACATCCCTCCACCCCGCCCAAAAGACCAGAAAGTGACTCCTTTACTGCAAGAAGCTGTAGGAGTCTCCCAGGTGGACGTTCTGTGAAATTGCTTCATGGGAAACATCCCAGAGGTGGGCTAGTTGGTCTCAGGAGTGAAGAGGGGACAAGAGGGGGAGGGGCAGGGAGGGGAGCTTCAGCTGCTCAGGGTCTAACTCAGGAAGCACTCAGCCTCTTCCAGCGAGCTCCCACACACACATACACACTTCCTGATGCTTGCATGTGAACAAAATTGGGGCATCTCTGAATTTTCTGTGGAAAGAAGAAGGCCGCCATTTTAGAGTTGGTGGCTACCACTTCAGCTCATCCTAATCCAGAAATGGTCTTACCTCCTTGGAAAGCCACATGTTTCTCTGTCTCCAGAGAAATCTCCTGCTCAGTCCAAGGGCTGGCAGGGCTGTGTGTGAGCTTTACATGGCCATATTGAGGAGCAGCCCTGAATACTTGCAACATGGAACCAGGACCAGGAGAGCTGAGTTCAAGCCCAATATGGTTTAACATTAGTCATGTACAACTGCATGGCTTTTCGTGACTTTGAATCTAAGTACTTGATACATGTAATAATATTTTTAAAAAGATTTTGCTTGTATCTCTCAGATCAGCACAGACCTCCTGAGGGTTAAGTTTATATGAATAACACCCTTTTACAATGTCCAGTCAAGAGCAAAGATAATGATCCTTTCTCTCTCTTCTCCAGCTTCTGTTTCCTAAATTTCTTGACGGGGGTTATTTCTGCTTACTTTTATGTTTATATTATGCCAGGTTCTCTCCTGTGATGACACTTTATGTTTTTATTTTTCTAAAGAATAGTTTTAGCAATATTTTATAGGGTAGCAATTCTTTAATATTTCAAAGTAAAATGACTAAAGATAACTGTGAAAAAACATATTTAAAATACACATTAAAAAATTGGAGGGCCAGGGTTTTGCTCAGTGGTTCCACTGCCTGCCTTGGAAGTGCAAGATCCTGAGTTCAATTCCCAGTACAAAAAAAAAAAAATGGACACACTTGCTTAAATTCTCTTGTATGAGAACCCCAAAGGGTAAATAAGGACCAAAAAGGAGGATAGATATTGGGAAGTAGGAAGAAAATATTCAAACGGAAAGAAAGGGAACAAGGGAGAGGAGGGAGGGAGGGAATAGATATAAAGAAAATTAAAAAAGAATGGAAAAAGTAATAAAACAAAGTTTTGTAAATGAAGAGGGGGAGAAGGATTGAAGGGAAGGGAGGGAGAATGGAAGAAAAAAGAATTAAGATATATTATGTACAGGTACAAATTCCCTATGATGAATATGATCATTATGTATGTTTAAAATATACCAAAAAATTAATTTAAGAGTAAATAAATAAAATACAGCTGAAGGGCTAAGGGTGCACGTATCTCAGTGGTAAAGTGCTTGCCTGGCATACAAGGTTACATACCCAGCCCTGAAGGAAAAAAAAAAAGCATTAATATACAATTGTACTATATGGTGAATGTTTACGTTTTTACAATTATTACGGTAAAAGACACACTGCTATGAATTCTCCTCAAAATACTCCCCCTCACTTCAAGTGACTTCTCCCATCATTCTTGCCACTTTTTGAAGCAGTTCTGGAAGTGCTCCTTCATGTCTTTAGAAAGTGTGAACAAAAATAGGGTGGATGCTGTTACCAAATGAAATGAAATGGCACCCAACAAAAAGGCAGGTTTGTAAAAACATCACAGTGTGTCCTCATCCATTGTATTCATCAGATCTAACACCATGCAATTTCTGGTTCTTCCCCAAGGTAAAAATTACCATAAAAGGTAAACATTTTCAATAGATTCAGACCATCAATCCAGTTGTGCAGCCAGGACAGCACAGCTGAAGACACTCAGGAAAGAGGACTCCAGAACTGCTTCAGAAAGTGGCAAGAACAATGGGATGCACGTGTGTGAAGTGAAGGGCAGTATTTTGAGGGTGGTTAATGGCAATATGTCTTTAGCTGTAATCATTTTCTATTTAAACACACTGTATATTTCAAAGGCACTTACCTTCTGGAGAATTCCATGTTAGCAAGGGAGGTAGAATACATCTGATGCAAGCATCTAAGATATATCCTACTTCGGGAATCCTTCTTGTTCGTTTTACAAATGATCTTGTTCTGTAAGACATATTCTATTTTGAATTCTTTATGTCCATATTTCAGCTTGCAGCTAGAATTTGAAATTGTCAAGGATGAGGACATATATTTCAAATCTTCAACATGCAAATCAACATGTTGCACACAGAAGCTGTGTTCTTTATGATGAGTCAATGCCGTTCTCTACTGTTCTCTATGGTTTTCATCTGTAACACCTGTAATGTGTGTTAAAATGTACTAAGTATGCTAGCCACACAGATTTCTCTCTCTCGGTTTCCAAAAAAATCCATGAACAAGATATTGCCAATATCCGTGGAGAACGTGTGAGCTTAGAAAAAGCAGCCTAAGACCAAAAGACACATGGCGATGACATTGACATAACACAGTTCAACAGGTAGCAAGTACAATGCCTGGGATGATAGTTTTAAAGTTCAAATACATTAAAATAAATTATATCATTTTTAAGAAAATGAAGTTCATTTTGTTTTGCTGTGTTGCCAATCAAACCCAGGGCCTTCGGCATGCTAAGCATGTGCTCTACCACTGAGCTACATTCCCAGCATAGAAATTACCTTATAAGAAGAAATAGAAATAGCTGGAAAACTATAGTAGAAGCCAACTGATGCTGAGGTGATAGACTATTAGGTGAGAGAGAACAAGTACAAATGAGCCAAGAAACAACTTTGTCCTGGACTCTGCCAGGCTTCATTGCTATCATGGTAAAAACTCAAGGGGCTTCTTTCTTTCCTTTCCACTAATGCTACTTCTGAATTTTTCTTTGAACTCCAACCCCTTGGCTTTCTCTAGAGTTAAAATGCTTTAAAGACCCAGATGGGGTGCCGGGCATGGTGAGGCACACCTGTAATCCCAGCACTCAGGAGGCTGAGGCAGGAGGATCACTGTGAGTTCGAGACCAGCCTGGGCTACACAGTAAATTCCCGGTCAGTTTCAACTACATAGTGAGACCCTGTCTCAACAAATTTATAGACCCAGATGGAAACTGGGTGTGGTAGCACAAACCTAAAATCCTAGCATCCTGAGAGGCTAAGGCAGGAAACTCACAAGTTCAAACCCAACAACTTAGTGACTTAGTAAGATCATGTCTTAACATAAAATTTTAAACAGGACTGGGGATTTTATCCAGGGTGAAGGCCCTGTTTTCAATCCTTAGTACCTCAAACACAAATAAACAAAAAGCAAAAACAAACCAAAAAAGAGAGAGAGGGTGAGTGCCTAAAGACTCATGGCTCCAGGATTGTGGAGTTGTCCAGCCCTAAACGCTCACCTCCCCCTGTCCGCACGGTGGTTTTCCTGCAGTCTCTCGCTACTGTGAGTTCGACCAGCCTGGGCTACACAGTAAATTCCCGGTCAGTTTCAACTACATAGTGAGACCCTGTCTCAACAAATTTATAGACCCAGATGGAAACTGGGTGTGGTAGCACAAACCTAAAATCCTAGCATCCTGAGAGGCTAAGGCAGGAAACTCACAAGTTCAAACCCAACAACTTAGTGACTTAGTAAGATCATGTCTTAACATAAAATTTTAAACAGGACTGGGGATTTTATCCAGGGTGAAGGCCCTGTTTTCAATCCTTAGTACCTCAAACACAAATAAACAAAAAGCAAAAACAAACCAAAAAAGAGAGAGAGGGTGAGTGCCTAAAGACTCATGGCTCCAGGATTGTGGAGTTGTCCAGCCCTAAACGCTCACCTCCCCCTGTCCGCACGGTGGTTTTCCTGCAGTCTCTCGCTGTTGGCACCTCTCCCTCCACTCCATAAGTTGAGAAAGAAAGTCCTTGGGGGGAAAAAAAACTGATGTTTTTACAAGCATTTTATAATGCCACAATTTATTTATACTGTCATCCAAGCTATGTTGCTCCTCTTTCTCACAACATAAAAAGTGGAAAACTTGCTTTATCATTTGGTATCTGAATGCATAAAGCAAAATCCTACTATATGTCAGTGATAATCTCATTTCTGATTTTGAGATATGGACAGGCTGTGCTTCCTTGTTTAGGCTTTCAGGCTTGACAGGTCCGGGGACTATCTTTTGTATATTGGGACAGAATGTCAAATCCTGCAGAACGCCCGCTCTGGTGAGTGAGTGGACCTGGATTTCCTGACTGAGCATGTACCAAATGCATCAGAGGCATAGCAGTACCAGCACCTTCTTCCTCACACGTGACTGTTACTCTTGCTGCTCGCTTTACAGGTTTTGGGGATTTCAGGTCTCAGCTTTCCTTTAAACTTATCTGGATTTTTTTTTTCCTCAAACCACCTCTGAGGAAAATCAAGAGACATTCTGGTGTGCTGTTTAAGTTGCCCTAGTTCGCTTCTACACATAGTGGGATCAAATGCATACTAACTGATAAAGCTAAACATTTACTCCTTTCAATTCCTCATGGGACCCTTACAAAAAGGCTGGCCATCTGGCCTGGCCCCATCCCCACCTCTGTGAGCCCCTGTGACAGCTCTGCCATGGCCAGTGGCTGCCCCAGCCTGTTTTTGTTCCCTGAGTACCTGGACCCACTCTCACCTGCAGCCTTCACCCCAGCTGCTCACACGAGGGTTCTGCCATCAGACATCTTCCTGCCTGACACCACCTCTCCTCTGAGCCACGTCCCAGACCTCAGCCTCCCCATGACAATAGGTGAACAAGACAGAGTGGGCCACATAGCCATGGAGACATGGGTGCTCCGAGTGAGAAGTGAGTAACAGGAGATCGGAGCACATGGACTTCATGGACTTGCTTTTTTAAACTTGTTTTATTAAAATCACTGCTGATTTTCCTAGTGTTCTTTGAGGTGTTTGATTCCATTTGTGGTGAGGTCTTTTATCCATATCTTCAGTGCCTTCAATGCCCTGGAGCTATGTCATCCCTTTCAAGGGTCTTATTTCCCATCAGATCCGTGTGCTTTGCCCCTTAGGAAAGAGGAGGCCTTTCTGTAAGCTCTAAGACAGTGTTGCATTTGACCTTCTCAACTCCCTTTCCATACAGTAAGAAATATAAATAAATAACCTGATTAAAAATGAGCTAAGGAACAGAACAGATGTTTCTCAAAACACAGACAGATCACCAACAAGTATTTGAGAGGTGCTGAACGTCACCAACTATCAGGGAAATGCAAATCAAAACCACAATGAGATACCACCTCACACCTATTAGAATGACTATGATCAAAAGACAAAAGAGATCATGTTAGTGAAGAACTGGCAAAAGGAAACCATTACACACTGTCTGGAATGTAAATGTAGAGATGTAAAATGGAAGGGAAAGCATTATGGACACCCTCAAAAACATAAAGATAGAATTACTGTATAATCCAGCAACCCCACTCCTAGGGAAATATAGAGGAAATGAAATCCAGGTCTCAAAGAGATACCTGCTCCACCCACTACCACTGGGTTCACTACACTATTAATCACAACAGACAAGACATGGAAACAAACTGTCAATGAATGACTAGATAAAGAAAATGAATATACATAACATAAATATACCCAAAGGGAATATTATTTTTGCTTTAAGAAAGAAGGAAATCCTGTCCTTTGTGACAGTATGGATAAACCTAAAAGACACTATTTAAAGGAAATAAAGCAGACACAGAAGAACAATGCTGCATAATCTCACTTTTATGTGGAGTCTAAAAAAATAAAATTCATAAGAGCAGAAAATAAGTAGAAAGGCAGTTGTCAGAGTGTAGGAGTGGGGAAATAGAGGGATGTTTGTCAAAAAGTACAGAGGTTCAGAGAGTCAGGATGAAAAGTTTTGGAGAACAAATTCAGCACAGTGACAATAGTTAATATTGTGTTATATGTCTGAAATTCTCTAAGAAAGTTAATCTTATGTATTCTCACTGTAAGTGTGTGAGGTGATGACTATGTTCATTAGCTTAATAGTGGAAATCATTTCACAAAGTGTACATATCAAAACATCATGTTGTATAACATACACACACATATAATTTTTGTCAAGTATAAGTCAATAAAGTTGGAAAAATAAATGATAATGGATATGGCAACATCATACTCATAATTTAACAACTTAGAAGAAATGGCCTATTCCTTAAAACCCAGAAATAACTAAATCTTGTCCGAGATTGAGAAGATAACCTTGACAGTCTTTTGTTGTTGTTGTTGTTTTGAGATGGAGTCTGGCTATGTAGCCCAGGCTGGCCTCAAACCTATGGCAGGCCTCCTGCCTCCACCCCCAAGTGCTGGGATTACTGGCATGCACTACACACCTGGCTCCCTTGGTAGTCTAATTATAATTCATTATTAAGATATAATAATTATTATTATAAATATTAAAGTAAAATAATAATTATAATTGTTAAAGAAATTGAATTTAGAAATCTCCAACCCACATACATTTCAAGTATACCTTATTTTTAACAACACAATCTTCCACCTCTACAAAACTATAAAATATATGAGAGAAAGCTTCCCAAGGCTGGCATTACCTTGATACCAAAAGCTAGAAAAGATGGCCCAAAAAAGAGAAACTGCTGACCAATCTTTCTCAAGAATGTAGATACAAAACTTTTCAGCAAAACATAATTGAGTCTAATCCATTCCAGCAATAAATAAAAGAAATAGTTTACCACAGTTGAGTAGGATTGACCCTGAGTATGCAAAGTTGGCTCAATATTCAAAAATCAGTGTGAAATCTACCATATCAAACTGGCAAATAAATCAACTGATACCAGAATCTATTTGATGAAATCCTGTCCCCACTCATGAATACAAATAGATGGGAATTTTCTCAGTCTCTAAAGGGGCATCCACTAAAACCCACATCTAGCAGGATACTTAATGATTAAAGGCTGAGTGCCTTTCCTTTAATACTGGAAACAAGACAAGGATGTCTGCTCTCACCTCTCTTACTCAATATAGTATTTGTTACAGTTTACTTCTAAAACGTCCTTACTGTTCAGAGGTGGGGCTTTGGAAGGTGATTGGATCTGGAAGCACCATGATCATCAGAGGATTAGCCCATTGACGAGTTTGCAGGTGAATAAGCTGCTAGGAGGTGGGAGCTGACTGGAGGAGGTGAGTCACTGCAGATTTTACCTGGAATGGTATTTTCTTGTCCCCAGCTTGTCCCTTCTTTTTCTCTGCTTCCTGGCTACCATGGGTTTTGTATGCCATACCCTTTTACCATGCTGTTTCTGCTTTGAAGTTGGCCAACTATGGACTGAGCCCTCTGATCCCATGAGCCAGAATAAACTTTTCCTTCTTTAACTTGTAGGTGTTGGGTACTTTGTTCCAGTGAAAGGAAAACTAATATACTACTACACATCCTACTATTAGATGGCAGCAACTAAAAAGAGAAGGAAGAACAGAAGGAAGGAAGGAAGGAAGGAAGAAAGGAAGGAAGGAAGGAAGAAAAGGGGAAGAGGAAAGGAGAGGAAAAGGCACCATTAAGATTGAAAAGAAAGAAATAAGACTATCTCCATTGTAGATATTATGGCTGTCTATACAGAAAGTCTCAAGCAAGCTATAAAACAAAAGCAAAACAAACAAAAAACTTCCCAGAATTAATAAATGAGACCAGTAAGATTGCAGGATATGGGAAAAATACACAATAATCAATAATTGAATGCATTTATATATTCTAAAAATAAACAAGTGGAAGTATAAAACACACATGCAATACCATTTATAGTTGCCCCAAAGAAAATGAAATCTTATGTATTAATCTAAAAAAGCACACATGAAATATTCGTGAAAGAAACCAAAGATGGCTGAACCACGCTCATGGATTGGAATAGTCCATTTAGTAAAGATGACATTTCTCCACAAGTTGATTCTTAAGTATAATACAATCCATCAAAACTCCAGCCAAATCTTTGTAAACAAAGGCAAACTTTTTCTAAAACTTGTGTGGAATAGCAAAAAAGAACAATAAAGAAGAAGAAAAGTAGAAGAATTACTCTTCTCAATGCAAAGGCTTACTATATAGCTACAATAATCAAGACTATGACATCAGTAGAGGGAAACACATAGACCAGTGAAATAGACTAAAGAGACCAAAAATTCACCAACCAAATGTGCTCAAATGATTGTTTACAAAGGGGCCAAAGCAATTCAATGGTGAAGAGACAGCCTTTTCCATAAACAGTGCTTGGGCAAATGACAAAGCCACAAGACAAAAAATGAAATCCTTTCACAAAATATTAGCAAATCAAAGCCAGCAATGTATAAAAATAATTATAAACTAGGATCAAATGTGATTTCTCAAACACTAGTTCAACATTACAAAATCAACTCATGTAATCCTTCACATTAACAGGCTAAAGAACCTCTTTACCAGAACCCTTTCCCAGTAGATGCTCTAAAACCTGCTCATGATAAAAACTCTCAGCAAACTAGAAATAGAAGGGAACTCCCTTAACTTGATAAAAGAACATTTACAAAAAAGAATAGTTTACAGGTGATAATCACAGTAACAGCGAGAAACTAGAGGCTTTCTCCTTAAATCTGAAACATTGCAAGGAGGCTGTAGCCCACCCACTGGGACTAGCTCTGACCAGCCATCAGATCAGACTGCCTTGCCTTGCCTTATCTTTCCACAAAGCTGGTCAATAGGTTCCCTTGGGTCCCTCAGTGTCCTATGGTGGTCCACTGCTGTTCGATATGGCTTGCTGTGGACTGGTATCATCCTGCATGATTGCAGAGTGTCCCAAGCAGCTGAGCACTCCATCCTGGTTCCTGGAGAATACTGGCTTCCCCTGCTGAATTGCAACATAGCTCCCTTCAGAAAGGTGGGAGGCTTCCTACATCACAACATCA